AGGGGGCCCGTACGCGGGTATTACGCGGGATATGGCACCAATTTTGGGGATTGGGGCCCATGCGTGCATGTAGATTAAGTCCCCAAAATTTCAGCGCCGTAGCTTTTGTAGGTCCTGAGATGAAAGTGCGTGACAAACGCACACACAGACACACAGACAACCTCTCGTCAATATGCGTTTTTCGCATTGCATTGCTGCAAAAAACGCATAACAACCTGCAGTTGATTAAGGAGAAGTTGGTTTTATTCGTTCAGTGGCTGCTTGTCAAAACCGAAACAGTGGGAAAAAATTTTTTCATTTGTTAAAAATTTAAGCAGCTTTGTATTCGAAAGAATCCTCCGTATCGCCCGTGTAGCTAATAGTATTTGATTCACCAGCGGAAGAGAAGAGAACAAAGGCAGTAAGAGACGATAGAATTGGTATTAAGCTATGTTTCGATTTATTATTTTGTACGGACTTTTTCGAAAAATTTTTCGTGTCTCAGTACCGTAAACAGTGAAAGAAAAAAAAATGAACAGGGCTGAAAGAGAGAAAATTACTAAGAATTACAGATTCTGTAATCGGTTTACAGTCAGCGTTTTATTTCCAGAGACTCTAGGAGTGAAAGTGCATTGAAACTGGATTCAGTGGAAATGAAGTGAATTTACTCTAATATCTAATCTTGCTAGTAGCGCAACTAGTGTCAATAGACAAATAGTCCTTATTTCCGGTCCACACTGAAAAGAAAGAATTTGATAAGTGTCGTTTTTTCGGTGAAATCGCCGTTTCCAGAAATATACGTCTTTAGCTTTTAACTGAATTTTTAAGTTGAACAAGAGAACGACGGAATGAAGGATGTTTGGCATATCTATTCGTGACTACATAAAATAAATAGCAACGCGCAGCAGACTAGCCGGTGCGATCATGCGTTCTGTGCAATTCATCCCATCGAACGATTGCCTATTAATGATTTTCACTGCCTTGTACTTTAATCTATGCAAAAATAGTTCAAACATTGGAAGATAGAAATTTCACGCACCAGCGCATGAAAGCTGAATTCGAAATCTTGGAATATCTTTCTGTGTTAATAGTTTACCCGCCAAAATTTTCACGAGGCCGTATGTGATACTCAAGAGCGCGGAAACGCTGAATTTGAATAAGCAAGGTTGAGCATGGGCAGGGGATCATTACCCTAAAATTTCAGCTTCCTAGACCTCGTGGTTCCCGAGTTAATTTATTCGTAGAAAACTTTCATGGGGCCGTACATGTTACCCGCGGATATGGGAACGCTGAATTTGGATGGGCAAGGTTGAGCGTGGGCAGGGGGTCATTGCCTCAAAATTTCAGTTTCCTAAACCCGGTGGCTCCCGAGTTAATAATTTACCCGTAAGAAACTTTCACAGGGCCGTACGTGTCACCCGCGAGTACGGGAAGGCTAAATTTGAATGGGCAAGGTTGAGCGTGGGCAGGGGGTCATTACTCTAAAATTTCAGCCTCCTAGACTCCGTGGTCCCCGAGATATTAACTTACCCGTGAAAAATTTCCACGGGCCCGTACGAGTTACCCGCAGGTAAGGGAAGGGTGAATTTGAATTTGCCGCGTCACCCGTTGGCGGGGAACACTATACCAAAATTTCAGCCGTTTAGCTTTTGTGGTTCCCGAGTTGAAAGTGCGGGACAAAATGTGGGACACAC